TGGTGGCCACTGTAGATTTTTTTCTCTTCTGCAATTAAACCTTCTGCGTTTAGTAACCACTGGTACTTGAACTTTGAACTTGTGAACTATGCTTCCAGTGGTGTCTCTAGGGATATTCAGTGCTTTCCCTATCTTTTTGTATCCATTCTTTTGACTTAGCCATATTTTTAACATGCAGTCAAACGTGACACTCAACAAACCCCTAGTCAGTTCAGATATTTCAAATGAAGCCCTTGATTAGTTGTATCAGGTGTGCTTGAGACAACACCTGTTTTGCGTATTTGTGCTGTTGTGCGGGATTCTATTCAGGGGGTTGAATAATTTTGAGACTGGAGAAGTCATTATTAGTAGCATTTTTTTGTTGAATTTGGGGATTGTTGTGTTGAGCCATTTGTTTGACTTGTTCATTGCAAATAGCTGAAAGTCTGTACATTTTGACAATAAACCTTATTTTCAATGCTGGATGACCAATTTTGGTCACAACTGTATTTGTTGTTGACACGTCCCAACCGTATCGCATAAAGTGACCATTCTTCTTGGCTCCAATGTGGCAGTCCGATCTGCTACTAGTACTAGATGTGATAGGACAATCCTTCTAGGAAGATAATTCTGTTACTCTCATAGTAGGGCCCTGCTTCTTTATTTACTCTCATGGTAGTTGGATGCTGTTTAGGTAGCCATAATCTAATTTATTTATTTGTGTCCAAAATTTGGCTTTGAACACAATCTAGCACTTGTTTTCATTTGATAAGTTTCCTTACATTGGCTGGGATTGCATGTTTATATTTAACACGTTCACAATCCAGAAACGTCTTGACCATTTTCTGCTGCAGTTATAAATCATTATAAACATAAAACTTGACTTAATCTTTGTTATCATCATTAATCTCTATACCAATATGGTGAGGTTGAGGGCACACAAAATGACTATTTTGAGGGGCTTTGCATAGATAACTGGTTGAAAGTTATCGACAGCCATTCTGATAATTTGGCATCACGTTCCCTTGGGAACTGCGGTTGGCACTATACAAACCCCCTCATACTTATAGCCATTTTACATGTATGAAGTGTTTGTTTTGCTCCTGCGCAAAACCGCTGTTAAATATGCTGATTATTGTGGTATTTGTTCATTTAAAAAAAATTTTTTTATGTGCTTTTAGTGGTTTATCAAGCTCTTTTGGTGGTTGAATTCGGTAAAACAATGTTAATATATCTATAAATAAATAAATTTCTCTTGAAGTGATTCTGATCTCTTGCTTGACTGTTGGTCTGAGTGCAGTGTTTCTGTCCTTTTTAACCCTGCTATAAAAAAACTGCCATGTTAAACAAACATGTTTTCCTGACCCTATAGTGTTAAAAACACCATCTCCCCCCTGACTCCCCATTGTACCCCTAAATATAGTAAAATCTTACTTTTATTCCCGCCTGTAGCTACTTTGCTCTGCCCCTGAACTGCCTGCTTGACTGACATCATCAAAAGTGATTCTCTGAGCCAGTCACAATGCTTTCCCATAGGATTGGCTGAGACTGTCAGGGAGGCAGATCAGAGGCACAGCCAGCACAAGCCAAACACAGTCCTGGCCAATCAGCATCTCCTCATAGTGATGAATTGAATCAATGAATCTCTATGAGGAAAGTTCAGTGTCTGCATGCAGAGTGTGGAGACACTGAATGTCAGTCACACTGTGCAGCACTGCCCCAGGAAGGATCTCTAACAGCTATCTGAGGAGTGGTCAGTAAAGTTATCACTAGGCTGTAATGTAAACACTGCATTTTCTCTGAAAACAGTGTTTACTGCAAAAAGCCTGAAGGGAATGATTCTACTCACCAGAACAAATTCAATTAGCTGTAGTTGTTTTGGTGACTTTAGTGTCCCTTTAACATTGTGGGGTTATATACACTTCTGGTAGCTCTCTTACTGACAGCCACCAGAGGCGCTTCTGCTGCATTGACAGAGTAAAACTTAGTCACGTAAAGCAGATGCTCATAGGAACGCATGTGGCGCTCATCACGCACACGCAGCTGGTCATCAGTGCTCTGTGAGGATGATTGGATTCGGACCAGTGCTGGAGGAGGACGTTTCCTCAATGTTGCAGCAGACAGAGAGGTGAGCAGCGCCAAAGGATATGATGTCATATTCCGGCCCAGGTGTCACTAAGCAGCGAGGGAGCAGAGCAAAGACATCACAGCTCCCTCACCGCTCGAGTACTATTCGCGCAGCCAGCCCCATGCTTCCATAATCCTCCATCTTGCCGCCCACCCCCACAATTCCCCAGCCAGCCACCCGCCCGCTTCCAAAGTAACAGGCTCACATAGCCCAGACGCCAAGGCAAAATTCCTAGGCGCCATGGTGACCTGAGATTTGTCGAGCCCTGCTTTAACCTAGTGCCTTTTTTTTTTTTTTTGTTTAACCATTGGAAAGGTGGGATTGTGATCAGCAGCAGCTGTCAACCTGTAGATAGTTTCTTGATAGATTGTGATTGATGCCGATACAGAGCATAAATACTAAATAACATTTTTTGCCAGCACACTGGTACGTGTGTTACTTTGTTGTTGTTTTTTCCTCTCCATTTTCTTTTTTTACTATTGCTATACGATAAATATAATTTTTTTTTTTTTGTAATCTACCATTTTGTGTATTATTTGAAATCCACTGTTCTCTCAGACACTGTCTCTTGGGAAACTTGCTAGAAAAATAAGATGGATGTCACAAGTAGCTTTATATTTGTAATGTTCTTAAAGGCAGTTTGTAGATTGCAACAGTGTACATTAAAACAATAGTGGCAGAAATGGGTTTTATATTTAAGTAGGTCCCATATATCATGTTCGAAACAAATTCTCCAGAGTTTGACAAGGAACAGGGGCCAGTGACCTAAAAATGTATAAAATTATGCAGTACAGTCCCTTTCCTGGACTTTTGTCAAAATCTGTGGCAGCTTGCCTCTTATTGTGTACAATTAAGTGTATGAGAGTTTGAGAGTTTTACAGACCATTCCACAAATAGCTGCACGTTGAATATTTTGTAAAAGGAATTTCTGGGCATGGAATGAGTGCAGACTGTCAGGGTTGGATCATGTCAGACATCCAGTGACATAAACAGGCCACATATACAATAACATCTGATTCAGTTTGGGTGAGACCATTTACTTTATTATTTACTTTAATTTATACAATCCATAAAGTAACAACAATAAGAGATGCTCTACATTCAGAGCAGCCTAATAATCTACATTGTATACAAACAAAATAGGGGATGAACACGAAAAGGAGAGAATTCAGCGCTAATTAAAACACAATTAGTGGAGGTAGGCAGCAACCCAAACAAAGGAGAACCCCTCGAGTCCTTCAGTGAATAAACACAGTTAGAGAAAAAAGATCTATGAGGGCTGCGTCAAAGGGGAGGAGAACAGTCCAGTAAAATATCGCTAGGATATCAGTGGATCGTCGGGGATACTTGATAGGGTTTCTTGATGGAGGTAGGTGTGTCTGGTGTTGACCGTTCAGTATATGAAAATACAAGCGAGGTAGAAGCGAACAATGGTGCAGTATGTAAAATTCAAGGTGCGGTAAATAACAAAAGTAGAGAACTCACATTCGGGAGAGCTATGGCCAGCTCTGATGTGAATCGCGTACAGCGGTATAATCCCCGCTTATGGGATATGTAGGGAAGGGCTCTCCGTCAACACCGTCTGGTAGTCCAAAACTCGGAAGAGAAAATAGAAAGCAACAATAGTGCTCTCAATTGTGATGGGGTTCAGTGTGCAATAGGTAGAAAAGGGTAGAGAACTCACATTTGAGGGAGCTATGGCCAGCTCTGGTGTGTATATCGTACAGTGGTATAATCCCCGCTTATGGGATATGTAGTGGTAGTACGTCCATCAGCACCGTCTGGTAATCCAAAGCTCCAAGAGAGAAGGATAAAAAGCAACAATAGTTCTCTCAATCGTGATGGGATAAGAGAGTAGAATAATAGATAAAATAATACTCACAAAGATACAGCAGAGGTACTGCTCTATGAATAGGCGTAGGTGGTATGATCCCCACCTGGGATTTCTTGGAGTGCTGGAACAGTAAAATTGCTAGTGGAAGTAAAAGTAGCAGGAACGGTAAAATGCCAGGAATAGGTAAAAAAGTTTAAAGTGCATAGAGAGTGCAATAAAAAGAGGATTGGTACGGTAACGTAACCAAAAAACTTTTATTGTTCTAAAATACACAGTAAAATATAAGAGTAAATAACCATAAACGCGTTTCACCATAAGTGGCTTCTTCAGAATAGGATAAAGTATCCACGACGATCCACTGGTATCCTAGCGATATTTTACTGGACTGTTCTCCTCCCCTTTGGCGCAGCCCTCATACATCTTTTTTCTCTAAAATAGGGGATGATCTGCTAAACTGTAAAATAAAGCAACATAGCATATAACTGTGTTTATGTGAATATCAAATAATTGTGTTAACAAATGGCCACTCACAAATTCACAGATGTAAAATAGCTTTGAGCATAAAATCCTTCTTGGATTCAGCTGGATTTTTCCATCACTGTTCCCCCACTGTTGGACTCGAACTGGGATATATGGACTCAAAAGAGAATATAGAAAAAAAATTGAAGTGCTCTTTCCTGAGAAAAGTATAAAAAATTTAATAACTTACATCATAGTTAAAAAACAATCCGTATCACTACTGAACGTTCTACGTGTTTCGTCTACAGCTTGGACTTCCTCAGGGACTGGGTGAACTGTATCAGACAAGATTCAAATAACAATAACTGTCCTTTCTTCTCTCAGTCCTTTATACCCCCAAAAAATGTTCATTAAAGATGAGATTCGTGTCTGGTATTCCGATCCTATTCAGGTGGTGCTTCATTTTCTCTTCCTGTTTCCATGATATGACGTCGTTGCGTGCAACGTGATTGACGCGTGCGTTCCAGTTGCGTTTCTTGAACCTGAATCCGGAAGTTGATCGTGGCTTTTAGCTTTCATTCGTTTTTGTGTCTCGATGAACGACCATACATGGGGAAAAACGGACATGAGGGGGAAGAGTTAAAAACGCTTAATGGCACAAAAAATATATTTACAAATGTACCAATAAAATATAATCACTAAGATGTGATTATATTTTATTGGTACATTTGTAAATATATTTTTTGTGCCATCCAGAGTTTTTAACTCTTTCTCCCCAGCCCCCCACGTCTGTTTTTTTCCCCCATGTATGGTCGTTCATCGAGACACAAAAATGAATGAAAGCTAAAAACCACGATCAACTTCCGGATTCAGGTTCTTGAAACGCAACTGGAACGCACGCGTCAATCACATCGTGCGCAACGACGTCACATCATGGAAACAGGAAGAGAAAATGAAGCACCACCTGAATAGGATCAGAATACCGGAGACAAGAATCTCATCTGTAATGAACGTTTTTTGGGGGTATAAAGTACTGAGGGAGGAAAGGGCAGTTATTGTTATTTGAATCTTGTCTGATACAGTTCACCCAGTCCCTGAGGAAGTCCAAGCTGTGGACGAAACGCGTAGGACGTTCAGTGGTGATACGGATTGTTTTTAACTATGATGTAAGTTATTACATTTTTTATACTTTACTCTGGAACGTGCACTTCAAAGTTTTTTTCTATATTCTCTTTTGAGTCCATATATCCCAGTTCCAGTATAACAGTGGGGGAACAGTGATGGAAAAATCCAACTGAATCCAAGAAGGATTTTATGCTCAAAGCTATTTTACATCTGTGAATTTGTGAGTGGCCATTTGTTAACACAATTATTTGATATTCACATAAACACAGTTAGGTTATGTTGCTTTATTTACTTCCAGTTTAGCAGATCATCCCCTATTTTGTTTGTATACATTTTGCTGAAGACAAGAGGAAGTCTTTGGGGATTTCTTTGGATACTTTACCTCAACCAGGGAAGTTCCTTTCTGCTAATTATCTATTAAGCACTTTACACACTGGGGTTTGTTCACACCTCTTGTTTGTTTTGTATATATAATAATCTACATTGTCTACTTAGCACCCCCTGTCCCAACCTTTACTATATCTGCATAACGGCATGCCGCTATATCAGGGGTAAGCCAGCTTTGGCTCTCCAGATGTTCCATCTCTCACAATGCTCTTAGTCATCGGCAAAGCATCAGGGGTGATGTAGTCCCCAACATCTGGAGTGCCGAATGTTGCGTTCTCCCTACTGTAGCGCTTTTATTGGGAGTCAGTGAGCTTGTGTGAATGTGATTATTATTGATTTACAGTCTAAGTACAGTAAATATTGGGAGAGAATGCAATTGGTAAGCAATAAACCTTTTTTTTTTTTTTTTATCCCTATTTTGAACTGAATAAATATCATGAGTGCCTTCTCAATCAGAGCGCAGTACCTCCTCTCAGTAGACTGGCGAGAGAGTATTTTGTATTTTTATTTCATTATATCTATTTGTTTATACCATGGAGTCCTTACAGGCTCACAGACTTCCATTATTGGTGAAAGCAACTCAAGAGGTGTCTGTACGTTTATTGGGAGTGATGGCCATTTAAGCTTCAGATGAGATACATTTTACCACGTTACCTGTAGTTACAATATATCTAGTACGGCTTTACCTCCACCCAATCTGCAATAATGGTGTTTAGAGATATGGCACATACAATAATAAAACATTGTTTTAAAATATTCAAGCAATAAAATATTACAGGTACTGAATGTTTCTTCAGATTGCGTTATATGTAAAATGTCAGTTCCCTGGGAACAAAATAGGTGCGATTTAAAAGTGTTTCTTTCTGAAAAGTGGGGCAAGTTTTATAAGTCTAGCCACTTGCTGATTCTATTAGTTTCCATAGTGATTTCCTCACATTTAGACCATTGTTCCACTTTTTCATTTAGCAATACTTTTAAAAATGTACCCCCCAATATATCTGAGCCTTACAGAAAATTTGACCTGTAATCTTTCTCTTAACATGCTATTTCTGAAAATATGTTGTGTGCAAAAAAAAAAGGTATTTCAGAAAAAAATGTCTGTAACACTTTATAAATTAGTTTTGGTACTAATGGTTGGCATCTATTCTGTTTTCATGTTCTATTAAAAAAAAAAAAAAAAATCTGTTGCTTAATTTTGTTTCTGAACTCGTTTAATGAATTCATTTGCAATTTTCCAGAAGAAACAGAATTTTATAAGGTTTAAAGAAGTATATGTTGTCAGCGTGTCCTCATTTGTCCTTTCTGTACTGTTTATTGTCCTTTAATACACTTTTGCCTTTTAACTTCTATTAATGGCCTCTACCTCCTTAACTCACCAAGTACCGTAGAGCCGTCTGGCAGAAACATGCTGCTCCCTTCTTACTCCAATCTCCTTGTGTGGCCTGCAACTTCTCTCGTAACTTTGTGATCCTTGGTACGCTTTGTTTTTGTGTTCACCTGCTTTCTGCTGTCCTGGTCCTGCAGTTCTTTTATCTTCAAACACTTCCGCATCTCCGGTGCTTTGAAAACTTTCCTTCTTCTGCAGTGCATCCCCTTTCTAACAGAGACACATATCCAGCAGATATTGAGAGACCCTTCAAATTCGGCAGGTATGAAGTTTACTATTAAAATCAATGAGTTGAGATCCGCAATGAGCTCTGACCTGATTTGGGGGGATATTGTTCTAGCTAGCTCAAGACGATGCACAAAAACATAAAAAACATTCTTGCCCTTGTTTTGGTGTGGGATTTGAAGAGGCGGAGGTAGCATCATACTGAGATATTAACGGTTTTTTTCACTGTCAACAGATGATATAGAAAACCATAAAATAAAAGTTGAGATATCCTATTCAACTCAAGGTCTTTTGAAGGTCATTGCTCAACTGCGGGCTTCAAACTCGTCATTAATTCCAGGACCTCATTTGTCTTGAATTAATGTATCCAATATGAATTATTAAGGATTTGCATGGCCCTCGTATCACATAGAGCAGTAACATTGGTTGATGCATGGTGCATGAATTAATCTGCAAACCACACATAGAAACCTATAAAATATGGAAAAGTCTTCAGCACAGCATCTTCTCAATGCAGGAATCTTGCATCTGCCATTATGTTAATTGTAACTGTTTTTTTACGCATGTAAAATACTTTATAAAGTTTTGGTTTAAATAGAAAGAAATTTAGACTATTCAGGATCAAGCTTAAATTTGGAAAACTGTTTCAGGAAATGAGAAAACTAGCAAATGAGATGAGTATGTAAGAGAAGAGAGGAAAATTATCAGGTGTGACTACACAAAGACACCAAAAAACAGAGGGACCATGTTAAATGATATAGGTTAAAACAAATCTTACTCCCAAATGCTGCTTCTCTCAGTTTGGAAAGTAAAAGTATTTGCTCTTCTTTGCAGGGGAGGGCTGATGCATCCTGTTAGAATCCTTTAGGTCAGGGGTGGGGAACCTTTGGCCCTCCAGATGTTGTGGACTATATCTCCACCGATGCTTTGCCAGCATTATGGCTGTAAGAGCATTGAGGGAAATGTAGTCCACATCTGGAGTGCTGAAGGTTTCCTGACCTTGCTATATATTGTAGTGCTGTAGTGGCCCCAGATGCCAATGAGAATGCTAAGGTCATGAATACTTGTTACAAATGGTTCACATGGTTCCAAGTAGATCCATACATGAACATATAGTGGGGTACATGCAACACAAATTATTTTCCTTTTTTTTTTTTTTTTCTTTAAAGAGAAACTTGAGAGATTAAACTTTTAAACAGATCAACTTTCGTACACAGTGGTGCTTTGACAGCAGTTTAATATGTACTAAGTTTTGGTCGTGACATACTAGTTGATCCCTCTCTGTGGAGGACAGCATGGAACGTCCTAACATCAGAGTGTGCTTTAGTACCATTAGGACTGCATGAAACATCCAGCAATTTTGGTGTGAGGAGGGTTAAACAGGGGTCATCAGTCTTGCCCTACTAACCAATTAGCTGTATGCAGCGCTTCAAGTGAATGCTGCATGCAGCTCTCTAATTCATTTTAAATCACTGTGATTCTAGGGCTGCTGAAGGGAGACCACCGGTGTCTGAATAGACCCTGACAAGGATCTCCCTGTATATCCTCAAGCTGAATGTTATCTGTGCTTGGATTTACCAGCTGCCCAGCATTGATCACAGTGTAATCAGCTGGCAAAGCATGATTGATTAATTCAGTGTTATAAGGAAATGGTCCTGTAATACTGAAAACAGACAGTAGATAGCAACATATCACTCTGTTTTAACTAGGAAGCCATCTGCTGATATCAGTACTGATATTAGCAGAGGGTTTACTGTAGGGTTAGGTAAGGTATGTATTAATGCAGTTTTCGAGTTAGGAAAGGTATATGGCTAGTGTTAGCACAGGGTAAGGTGTTTGGTTGGTATAGTGTTAGTGTTTTCCCCCCCAAACATTTGTTTATATCCTAGACGTATTAGGCATTTCAACAATCAGGACAGGTATGTGAATCTATTTTGAGTTCTTTTTAGTTGCATTGGACGTGTAAAAATGATTACAAGCAATAATAATAATATTTTTCCCATCTTATTCACACTTAATGTTGCGTTAGGTATACATATAGGATATTAAAAGAACTGCCATCTCTGCCCTTACCAATATGTAATATTTACGGGGCACTTACTGAGAAATCCTTAAATTATGGTAATACAAATACTAGAATGGTTATTTACTAAAGGGAGAGTTCAAAGTGAGTTTGAAAGGCTAGAGTAGCCATACGTAAAATCTAGAGCTATGATGGGTAACTCTAGAACCTAAGCAGGCAGTATTAATCTACTAGTATCATTATATATGAATGTAGCTTGGCTATAACAGAGTATGTTTGTTAAGAGAGTGTGTAGGAAAAATAACTAGCACTTTAGTTCCATGTCTATGGTTGCAAGTTGACAAACTCTAAAGAGCTTGGGGGTAGAGAAAGACAAGAAACCGTAGAAGACCATTCAAAGAGAGAGTGGCCATAATTAGGTACATTCCCAGGAGAACTTGGGTATGTTCATAAAACAAGTTGAGTGACAGCAGGAAAACAAGGCAGTGGGAAAGACTAAGTGACTGTCAGGTTTAAATACTGAGGGGACCGAACTGCATGTGTATCAAGTAGCAATCCAGTGGTAGAGGCACAAGCTGTCTCCTGTAAGCCGACTGCACAGTTTGGAGTGGATACCGCTGTGGGCTTGTGTCATGTTCGGCTCTTGTTTTCATTACAGAATCGGATGCA